ACATCGGTAGTGCTTCAACTCGCAGATAGGTCAACAAAACCACCACTGGGAATAGTTGAGGACATCCTCATCAAGGTGGACAAATTCTACTTCCCCGATGATTTTGTAGTTCTTAACACAGAACCGGTGCCTACCAACCATCTTAGGTCGACCTTTCCGTGCCACCGCTAATGCCACAGTCAATTGTCGGTCAGGTATCACGGATATCTCTTTTGGTAATATGATGGTTAAGTTGATGTCTTCAATGCAAGCCAACATCCCATAGATGAAGGAGAGTGTTTCCTAGTTGATGTAACTAATGATCTTGTCCAAGAATCTCTTCCTTCTATCCTCTCAAAAGATCTATTAAAAGCATGTCTTGCTCACTTCAATATGGATGCTTTTGATATTGATAGCTCAATTTGTGAAGTGAATGCTTTGATGGATACCGTTGCCTTAACGGATTATCCTCCATGGAAAACTCCAAGGGAACCACTCCCTCCACTCTCAAGTACTCCTCAGGTACCGTCCCTTGTCTCACCACGTACTCTAGAGCTCAAGCCACTCCCATCCAATCTCAAGTATGCCTTTCTTGGCCCAAATGATACTCTTCCGGTCATCATAGCTTCTAATATACCAAATGACCAAGAAGAAAGTCTTTTGGATGTGCTTAAGGAAAATAAAGAAGCCATAGGATGGAGTGTAGCCGACTTGAAGGGCATCAATCCTTCCATTTGCATGCATCGCATTCATATGGAGGACGATGCCAAACCTTTTCAAGATGCTTAAAAAAGGTTGAATCCTAATACGAAAGAAGTGGTCAAACTATCGGATGCCGGAATCATCTATCCTATTTCCGATAGTAAGTGGGTGAGTCCTACTCAAGTTGTTCCTAAAAAGTCAGGAAATCACTGTTGTAGAGAGCTCCAAGGGAGAATTAATTTCAAAATGCACGACCACCTCATGGCATGTGTGCATTGGTTATAGGAAGCTAAATTCCGCCACTAGAAAAGACCGTCTTCCATTGCCCTTCATTAACCAAATTCTAGAGCAATTCACTGGGCAAAGCCACTATTGCTTTCTAAATGGATACTCCAGGTATAATCACGTAGCCATTGACCCTCTCGATCAAGAAAAACTACCTTCACTTGTCCATTCGATACATTTGCATATCGACAGATGCCATTTGGATTGTGCAATGCTCCTGCCACTTTCCAACGGTGTATAATGTCAATATTTTCGGACATGATAGAAAATTTTCTCGAAGTCTTCATGGATGATTTCTGAGTCTTTAGGTCTACATTCGACTCATGTCATCATCACCTATCCCAAGTTCTTCAAAGGTGTCAAAAGACAAATCTTATTCTTAGTTAGGAGAAGAGCCACTTTATGGTTCAAGAAGGGATTGCGCTAGATCATGTTATATCAAAGAGGGGAATAGATTTAGATAAAGCCAAGGTCGAACTCATTGCCGATGTTCCTCCACCTTCTACGGTGAGAGAGATTCACTCATTTTTAGGACATATCGGCTTCTATCACCGATTCACCAAAGCCTTTAGCAAAATTGCAAGACCCTTGTGCAACCCTTTGCTAAGGAGACACCATTTGTCTTTAATGATGCATGCCTTGATGCATTCTAAAAGCTCCGTTCTCTTCTCTCATCCACTCCAATCATGCAACCTCTCAATTGGGCTAACAATATGTAAGTTTAGGAGTGTGATAAGCGCTAAATATGCATTATTCAGTCCTTAATCTTCATTAGTTAGTAACTTAGTTTATTTTTACTTTCCCGTTTTAATCTTGATTTGTTTTATTCTCTACTTTTAGATACTAGAGATCAAACAAGGTTAATTCCAATGTCTTAAAGATTGAAAGATGCCAAGCCTTGGGAGAGCAATAGAAAAGAAGCTTAAAAGCCAAAATCAGAGACAGTCCGATTGATCGAATTGTCTATTCGGATCCGATCAAACGGACTTCTGACACGATCGATCGGATACGGCCCTTACAGCTGCGAAATTCAGATTTTAAGCCTTGATCCAAGGGGGCTCAGTGTGCAATCCATCAGGCGTCCTTGTGTACTGGGTCTGACTATTATGGGAGCATTAGAGTCACCTATAAATAGAAGATATAGCCCAATTTGAAAGGGTTCTGGTTCTTAATTATTTTAGGGATTGAATTGGGGGAAGTTGGAGATCTACAATTTGGGGTTTTTCTCTCTCTCTCCGGGGTTTGCTCTCAAAGAAGAAGAGGAAGATGAAGCCAAGCATAGAGATGGGAATTGAGGCCATGAAGATCACATCCGTCACCTCCATGTCCGGCTAAATCATCACTTAAGGCTTGGATGAGCCCTAAGCTTGTATAATTGTATCTCGTCTTTCAATTTTGGGGAATTATAAGTTGTGTATATTTTTGCTTGGTCTTGTGAATTCTAACTTGGTTGTACCAAGGTTTATATTGATAATTCTTTCAAATTGATCCTGTAATTGATTATGTGTTGTCTTATGTGTGGTTGATTGAGGATTGATCTCTCCATTGAGTACTTTTTGTGATTGTGCTTAATGATGGCCATGCATTGTTCTTATTGGATATAATTGCTCTTTGTTTAATGGATTATGCTTAGTCTTGATAGGTTGTTCTACATTTTAGATTAATGGTAGTTAGGTAGACAATTCACACTTGAATTTGATAATTCATGCTTATTCATTGCAATTGTATTATCTACTTGGTCATTGATGTGTGTTTGTGGCCACATTTTCATTACAACTTGTGTTTCCCCATTAGTTGAAGGCATTTGATGCAATTCCATGAGTTTAGTGGATGAATCCATGCCCCAAGTCCCTCACACCATTACATTACTCCAATCTCTTTTCATATAATCTCATTTGCAATTTACATTTAATTGAATTTCAACAATTAGTTTAATCAACCAATCATCATCTTCTCAATCTCACGCTCATTATTACTAAGTTCAATCCAATCCTACAATCCCTGTGGACGATCCCTACTCATTATACTCACATATAGTTGCGTAGTGGCTTTTATAAATTTAAAAGTTAGTGTTCTCATTTGCCACATTTTATACATCTATTAGTTGCACCTCCAAGGTCACATCAAGTAGCTAGATCTAGTGCAGAGGCTGAGTCCAGATCTATGGCACATGGAGTTTGTGAGTTTTATGGCTACGAACTATGTCTGGTGAGTTAGGTTATCCTGTTCGCAAGTCAATGAAGTTGTATTGTGACAACAGGCTGCTATTAGCATTGTCCAAATCCAGTTCAACATGACAGGACAAAGCACATTGAAGTCGACAGACACTTCATGAAGGAAAAGCTTCGTCTTATATTGATTTGTACTCCATATGTCAACACACATGATCAAGTTGTTGATGTTTTGACTAAAGGTGTGAGCAAGAGTTGCTTGCAAAATATGTTAGTAAAGTTGTGCATGATAGATATCTTTGCACCAGCTTGAGGGGGACTGTTGTCAAGGGCTTATTTGTTATTGCTTATATGATGTTGGGCATTTATGTGTAATTTCTGAAACTTGTTAGTTGGGAGACTGATTTACCTATCTCTTACGTGCCCGGATATTGCCTACATTGTTAGTGTGATTAGTCAGCTTATGTATGCTCCACGTACACCTCACCTTGAGGCAACTCATCGTATTCTTCGCTACCTCAAGGGTTCACCTGATAAGGGGATATTGTTTGGACATCATGGCCACTTGCGTTTTGAAGCCTATACTGATGTTGATTGGGCAGGGTCTGTGACAAATCAACGATCTACTTCAAGATATTGCACATTTGTTGGAAGTTAACTTGTTTCATGGCGAAGCAAGATGCAGTCAGTAGTAGCTAGATCTAGTGCAGAGGCTGAGTTCAAATCCATGGCACATGAAGTTTGTGAAGTTTTATGGCTACGAACTATGTTTGGTGAGTTAAGTTATCCTGTTCGCAAGTCAATGAAGTTGTATTGTGACAACAAGGCTGCTAATGCATTGCCCACAATCCAGTTCAACATGACAAAACAAATCACATTTAAGTCAATCGACATTTCATCAAGGAAAAGCTTCGTCTTGGGCTGATTTGTACTCTATACGTCAACACACGTGATCAAGTGCATGTGATCAAGTTGCTGATGTTTTGACTAAGGGAGAGCAAGACTTGCTTGCAAAATATGTTAGTCAAACTGGGCATGATAGATATCTTTGCACCAGCTTAAGGGGGAGTGTTGTCAGGGGCTTATTTGTTATTACTTATATAATGTTGGGTGTTTATGTGTAATTTCTGAAACTCGTTAGTATAAATAGAATGTGGTGGAAGGATGAATATATTTATTCATTCTTTTTCTCTTTCCCCATCTCTCTCTCTCTTTTTCTCTCATCCTCTTTCTTCTCTTTTTCTTCTTCTTCTTCCTATACTTTACTCCTGATTTCATTATCTCTTAAAGTCAACACACACCTCATTAGGGCACCTCTAGATACGAGGCATGAGGAGTTATAAATGCGTAAAGTTTGGTACACGTGAAAGGCTTTCTGCTCTCCATTTCTCTTTCTTTGCATTTGTTAGGTGGTCTGAGCGTAAAATGAATTGTGAATTTTGTACGCTTATATACCTGTAAATGTTTTACCTAGTTTTATGTGCAACCAGACATCGAAAAAATGAAAATAATGTTTTCCGAAAAGTATTTTGCATTGAAATAAACGAAGGTTAGTTTCCTTTTCCATTAAAGACAATTATATACAATCATTTCCCAATCATTCCATCCTAAAAGACAGGCGTGGTATTTTAGCATGTTATCAGTTTATATAGAATACTGCAAAATAAGTTCGTTTTTTTGTCTCATGAAGATTGTGATTAATGGCAATACCCATCAAATTCCAAACTTTCAGCAACAATACACCTTACAGTGACAACCGTTTTTGAGAGGCCAAACGAACAAATGCATGTATTATAGGCTGATAAAAAATTAAAAAAAAAAACTAGAATGATGTCAACTATTGATCTCAGCATAAAAAATTACCTGTGGAACTTGTTTGTCTGAGTTTTGAGCTTCTTCCGCTTTGGGAATTTGGTTTCCAGACGAAAAGCGACCAGAAACTTGGGATGGTCCAGATAAAGAGGACACATTTAAACCAGCTGCAGGGAAAGAGGTACTCCTTCCATCATCCAATTTCACCAGTTTTGAAGGGTGGTTTGTTGGATCTGCAGTGTCATGAACAGTGCTTGCTTTCTGAGATGACACTGAAGGCAAGCTCAAATAGATGTCATCTCTCTGCGCCTGAATCGAACTTTTAGCAACTTGAGCAGGTATATCACCAAATTTATTTATCGTATCTGGAATACCTGATAATATTGACGAGCCAGGCTGCTATTGGAAAGGGAATTAATAAATAAAATGAATTCTACAATGACATTAACAAAAACATAGAATCATTAACAGAAAATAACTAAAACCATCAGGGGAACAAATTCTCTAGCCACTAGCTGATAAATAATATATCACTCAATCGCAAAACATCAAGACACTACAACAGATCTTCCTAATTCCACATGTTCCAGGCATATAACTTTGTGCTGATTTTGTTAGGACATGAAGCATTTTGACAGTTTAAATTTATATTAGCAAAATCAAAATATATGAACTTAAATTCTATCCAAGGCAATTTAATATTAACTATACATTCTTAATCTAACTTCGGACTAGCTCATTAAGTATTCTTATTTGCTACTAATCAGACATCTCAGATGAGGATGAAAGACTCTTCTTCCAGGAAGAGAGAAGTTTAATCCATAAAACCTGCCTAAAGACAACAGGACCTTTCTCAGAGACTTATTTGTCTTTGACCATTTCTCCTATCTTGGAAACTGATAAGACATGTGGAGTTTGGCACCTGAAAGCCTTTATCTGATAAAGGAGGACGCATAAAATTTGAAGGCTGGAGGGTTGCATTTGGAGCAACCAGCTGAGTATTATGCCCTAAACTAGCAGCTCCAACCTGTCCTGTTTGCTGTAACACCGGAGGTTGCATGTGCTTCTTCATAAAAGAGGAAGCTGCTACTTGAATTTGTGGTTTGACAGACAGATTGCTCAAAGGCTGCATGTGTATGGATGGTAATGTTGAAACTCCAGTCTGCCCCCGCAACGTGGCTTGTTCTAGAACTTGCTTCTGAGCCTGATGTGGAAGCTGAATTTGAGGCTGTGTTTGAAGCTGTTGGAGTGCTGGATAGTGGCTATGAACTAAAGAATTTGTAGGCATAGAAGGCACTTGGCCTTCTTGTACTTTGGGCATCAACCCAAAATGCAACTTGTCCTGTGCAAAAGGGGGTAGCCCAGGAAGAGTTTCAACAGCTGGTCGCTGACCCGGTTGGCCATCTTGCAATGAAGTCTGTGTAAGTGGACCCGGAGCTTGCCGGATATTCGGCATCTGCAACTGCACATTTAAAAGAAAGGAAGTGTCTTTTGTCACACAATTTTGTGTATTTAGCAATAGATTTTAATAGTGACACAAAACTTTGAGGTAGTGAAACAAACCATTTGTGGGGTAACCATTCCTAGCATTATCAGTGCCTGCAAGTATAGTCAGATAGGAACTTGTAAGATACCGTATATGACACTCTCACAATCAAAATGCAATCACAATGAAGAAACTGCACAAGGGCACAAGTATAATAGTTGAGGAGAGTAAGAAATAATGGGAAGTCCAAAAGTGGATCAATCAAAAACTAACATTCATTGAGATAATTATTTACCAGGAAAAAAGAAATTCCTTGAGATAATTAGGAAGAAAAAGAAAGAAGAACATGCATCTTCCTATTCTTCCAATTAGATTACTGCAAAACAATAATACATGCACAAATTGCAAGACACCAGACACAAAAACACACCTAGAGACCCTATTTTCTTTTAGGAACACTATCACTTGCTGTAAACTATAATTGATAATTGAACCACTACTACTACGTAGAAAGTACTCTGTCCTCAACCAGGTCAATTCAGTTTTGCTAATGAATTAAACATTCAAATAAATACTACTAGATAGAATGGGTCATACAGATTATCAGTTCAGTAAGGCAGGAACATACATCTGGGAATCCACTACACAGCCTTATATAGAAACTGAGATTAGTGAGAGTAAAGATAAAATAGTGGAATAGGATGAGAGGAACAGCATTTAATCAACTTGACTCTGATATTAAGAAGATGGAAGCTCTTCAAATGAAATTACTTCATGTAGAGCTATTTACTCGATCGCAGACATTTCTGGAACACCTCTAACAGATCCTATGGATGAGAAGTGCTAATGCTGCCAAAGAACAGGTTGAACACTTACAAGCTCTAGAGGAGATAGTGTGGGCTCAAAAGTCTAGAATCCAGTGGTTGACTGAGAATGATAAGTGTACAAAAATTTTCCATCAGAAGGTTAAACAGAAGAGAGCTATTAATTCCATTATTAAGCTTATATCAGAGGAAGGTAATGCTACTACAGAGCAGGTCGCAAAGGATTGGTTGGTACACTACTATGAGAAGTTGTACTCTGCAGACAAATATAGCGACATTTCAGATTTGCAGCATCCCAGAGTTTGCTCAACTTCTGAGCAAAAGGATGAATTGGAAGCAAGTGTTACTGAGGAAGAAATCAAGGGTGTTACAATGGATTTTCATCCTGATAAGGCCCCTAGGCCTAATGGTACCACTAGGTTTTACCAAAGATTCTGGAGCATAATTTAAGAGGGATGCTGTTCAAGCTGTTCAGTAGTGGTTCCAATCCTCTATGCCTTTGGGTATGAATGCTACTTTCTAAACTCTTGTTCCAAAGAAGTTAGGTAGTTGCAGAACTAATGGTTTCAGACCTATCCCCTTATGCAATACCTTATATAAAGTTGTGGCTAAGATTTTGGCAAACAGATTGGGGAAGGTTTTGAGTAATCTGGTTGGTGGTGAACAGATGGATTTCATGAAGGATAGAAAGATTCAAGGTAACATCATTTTAGTACATGATCTTAAAGGTTTTGCTAACAAGAGAGGTTATGCTTCTATGGCTCTCAAGGTAGAATTGAAGAAAGCCTATGATTCTATTTCATGGCCTTTCCTGTTCAAATTACTGCATAACTATGGTTTCGGTATTCAGTGGATAGATTGGATTGCTCAATGTGTATCCACAGCTAGATTTTCAGTCCTTGTAAATGGTGTTCCAGCTGGTTTCTTTGCTGCAGGGAAAGGAATTAGACAAGGATCCCCCCTTTCTCCTTTACTATTCACTTTAGTGACAGTATTTTTCTACTATAATGAATAGGAAGGTGGAGGAAGGTCAGATCTAGCTTTGTAAGTCTGTTGACAGAGTGGGCATGAAGCTTAATCATTGTTTCTTTGCAGATGATTTGTTTGTGCTGGTGAGAACTATTTGGGTACTGCTTCAGCTGTGATTGATACTTTTAATGAGTTTCATGAAGTTTCAAGCCTTTTTAGCAAAGAGAAGAGTCGTTTTTCTTTACTAAAGCTGTTAGAAGGAAGGGAGATTGTTGAGGTTTCTGCAATTCAGACAATGTGAGCTTCCTATGAGATACCTTGGTTCACCTTTGGTAGATAGAAGCTTAAAGAAGAACCATTGTAATGCTCTTCTTGATATGGTGGACTCCAAGCAGTCAGTTTGCAATGGCAAGCACCTATCTCTGGCTGGGAGAGTGGAATTGGTAAATCTGAGCTCACTTCTTTTTCTTATTACTGAGCTGTCTTCAATATTCTTCAAACAGTGAAGGAGGAGTTTTCTACAAGTTCATTTGAGATTCCAAAGACAATCATCATAAGCTTCACTTGCTGAGTTGGAACAATATTACAGTGCCTAAGAAAGGAGGAGAATTTGGGATCAGAAGGAAAAGGATATCAATTTTGCTGCCACTTACTCTCTGTGGGGTCTTCATTGAGAACAAGAACTCCTTTTGGATTGGCTGGTTTGTTAGTCCTAATTAGTACCAATTGGTATTTGCCTTTTTAATGTCAAAACCTGGTGTTACAGAGCTGTCAAGGGCTTATATGATCACCATTGCTGTGCAAAGTGACTTATATCATCTCACAGGGGTAGTATAGTCGTTAACCATCTTCTGACACAATTTGACAATGGTTTAAGCTATTCAGTCTGTTCAGGCTATTTTTTGTGTTAACTGAGGTTCAGCATATGAAAATTAGCTACAGGGATTTTCAGGGGTACTATGGTGATTTCACAATTGTATTATATGTTTATACACATGTTCAGATAACTGCATTGCATTGAACAGCTATGATTTAGCCTGCATTGTGAATTATACAGTCTCAGCAACAGGTTTGGGCTGAGAATGACAAGTGGCTGTTACAAGGGTATTTTGATCTTTCTACTTGACGCTCAAGTGTGTGACATGTTGTTGTGGTCCTAGAGTGAGAGTGTATATATCTCATTGCATTTCTTAATCACCAAGTCTTGGATAAGAAAGCTATTACAACCTTGATGTTGTGACCTGTAATTTCTTATATACTAGATGACAAAACAGCTGAGTTGGCAAGGGTATAATGGTCTATTCACATGAAGAACGTCATAACATTCTGTAGCCAATGATTGGCTACAGGTGCCATGTGTATATCCTTCTTGTAGTATACTCGAGAGCTTCATATGAACCAACATTTCTAAGGTCCTTGATGATGATCTGAACCTAAAATCTTCATAGAAATGTCATACAATTGATCCTTGTTGCTGTGTTCATCATGGAGTTCATTTGCTGTTTAGTTTTGCTGGTGCAAGGGCTGGTTTGAAGGTTCACTTTGAGCCTGAGCTTGCTATGGTGCTAAGTCAAGGTTAACACAGCTATAATTTGGCTATTTACATTTGCAGAGCACTTGTTCTTGAGGTTTACTATGCTACAATGATTTTTTTATCTCAGACCTGTGATTCAAGTTGTTTTCTGGTTTAGCCTTGTGATTCATTTATAGATTGTTTAAATCTTGCTATACAATGTCTAATCTACATGCTAGCAAGTTTGTATTGATGAATCAAGGCTGTTGAAGTTGGTTTTTGGACAGAACTTTGGTCACTTGTGGTTTTGACCTATCAAAACCCTAGTTCTTCATTATGTAGCTGTTGTCAAGGCCTTGTTGAGGTTGAATTGTGATTCGCATGCCATACTTATCTTGTTTATCATCTGAGCATGTTTGTAATGGTGATATAAGGCTGTGGTAGCGATCTCATAATTTTTGGGACACGAATTTTCAGATTTACCCCTCAGACCCTAGTTTCTGCAGAAAGAGTTCTAAAGGCTACCGGTGTTGTTAAAGGCACGCCTAGGCTCAAGGAGCAGGCCTAGCGCCTGTTGTCATCCCAGGCTCACTGATGTTTACTAGGCTCGCACCTCGATTGCGCCTTGTCCTGTTTGTTAGGCGCACCCACTGATTTTAAAAAAAAAAACTATGATTATTCTATTTCTTAAGCCAAAAAGGGTACTTTTGGCAACTTAATAAACATATAAGAAAGCCCAAGCATACAAGAGAAGAAACTTTTGCTCAAAAGAACAAACAAATAAGAAAGCCCAAGAGTCAAATTGTCAACCGAACAGAGAAAGAGTGATGAGACCGTGAGATGAACGACGAAGCCTTAGTTGCAGAGATGAACGACGAAGCCACATCAGTTCTTCTTTTTTTCTCTCTCCTCTCTTCTCCTCTACTCCTCTCTTCTATCTTTGTTTACATCTCTCTCTTCATCTAGTTCTCCTCTCTCAGTCTCTTTTTTTCTTTAACACTTTCTCCCTCTTCTCGTCTACTTTTCTCTCTTCATCTACTTCTTCTATCTCTACATCTTTTTTTTTTTTGCTCTGTTTTTTCTTTTCTTTTCTTGTTAACAGCCTCGTTTTTTTTTTGTTAACAGATATATTTCTTTTTGTGCTTTGTTTTGCCATTCAAAAAAACAAATTCTGCTTTGTCTTTCAAGAAAACAAATTTGTGCTCTATTTTATGGTTGTTGGATGCTTGTTTAGTTGATGGATTTGCTTTTTTATATTTGATATTATTTTTAGAATATTGATATGACTTATGAGATATGCATGTTTTTATAGTAGTTTATATTTTCAATTATGCGCCTCACTTCACTCAGGCGCGCGCCTTGCCGTGCACCTCGCGCCTAGGCTCCAAAGGACCTCGAGCGCCTTTGGCCTTTAATAACACTGAAGGCTACAGATTGTTGTTTTGAGCCACACAACCACTCTAATATTTTGCGTATACTTAAATATTGTTGATATTCATACTTTTATATGTATTTGGTGAGTTGTGAGAGGTTGCAGGTCCAAGCAAGGGTGCTTAGGATAGGGGGAGTGTTTGTAAGCACTATGTTAAGCTAGTGTGTTTGTAGAGGCTGTGAAAGCTAGTGTTTCAACTTGTATAAGGGTGTGTGCAGAGTATGAGATAGCTGAGTGTGTAACTACTTGCATACAACTAGTGGAGTTAATACTAGCTGAGGCCAAGAACAAAGGTTTTTCCCTATTGAGAGGGTTTTCCTTGTATACCTTGTGTTCATTGTATTTGCTTATCAACATTGATCTTGCTAAGCTGAAGAAGGTTTTAAAATTGACCAATCAAATCACCCCGGCCCCCGGCGCCCCCCCTTCTCTTCCTCTCTCGGGGTCCAACATGGTTCAAGAAGTATTCCAGCAAATCAAATTTCTGGAATTATGTGCCCAGAACTTCTGATACATCTATTTGGATATCCATGTTACAAGATAGTCACTTTATGTTGCAGCATATCTCCTTTTCAGTTGGAGATGGCAGATCATTGAACTTTTTGATGGATCCATGGTTAAATAGAATGCCTCTCTGTCATCAATTCAGTTTGAAAACATGGAGAGCTTGTGATGTTGATAAAACAAAGACTGTTGCTGACTTTATATATCAGAATCAATGGTGTTTGCCACCGTCTCTGCTGAAGTTGCTGGTTTGATGAGGAACAAGAGAATATCACCAGGTGCTGATATAATTGGCTTGGTACAAGTTGGTTTGGTGTACCTGCAGACCTAGAGTGGCCATCCCCTGTGCTCACATTTTTAACAATGCTATTCCATCTTTCTCAAATTTGAAAAGTGATTCCACTCTCCCTTCAATATGTCGCAACTGCTGGGATAATGAAGATCATTCTGTTCACCTCTTTATTCACTGTCCTTTGGCTAGACAGGTTTGGAATTGGTGGTGTTCTTTGTTGGGATTGAGACTCTTGGACTTTCATTCTTTGACAGATTTTGCTGATTGGGTTCTTATTAGGTCTGTGTGTAGTTCAATCAGATCTAAATTCATCAAATGTTCTTTTGTTACTATCCTATGGAAGCTGTGGATGGAGAGAAACAGTAGAGTTCATGGAGGTCTAAGGCTGTGGCCAGCAGAATAAAAATTTTGGATTCATGTAGCCAATCCCAAGTAGTTGAGAAAAAGACTTTGTTGAGTTGAGTGTTTAAGATATACCATATCATAAGGAAGACTGCGGCACAATTTGGGGATGATGTGGATAGGAAACTGTCTGTACTGATGATTAATAAGACTGTCTATTTGGTGGAGAATTGAAGGTTTGGTACTCCAAACCACCCCTCCACAGTAATGCATCTTCAACAGCATATCGGAGCCAGGTCACCGTAAGAGTAGTGTTGCTTGCTATAATGATCATTGCTCCAGAAGGGTAGCCCAGTTTCTTATACATTGATGTATAAAGTGATTTTACTAAAATGGGTTTCAACCATTCAAATAAAATAAGAATATAAATGTAAAATGTGGAAAGTAAAAGAAATAGGTAACAAGACAAAATCCTGTAAATCCGGAGCATGATTTGCACATGAATATTTACTATTACTCCATGTTGCTGAAAACAAGAGGTTTTTAACTAGAAAGATCTCAGGACAAATTGTACAAGACAGTTCTCCTATATGCACACATATTTATAAAAGCACATATGCAAAACATGGAAATAAACCCCTGATCCAAGAGTAAATGACTGGATGGGGATCTTGAATGGTATTAATAAGATGGTCCGTGGAAACCTCCTTTTATATTAAAAAAAAGCAACAAATGACGGATACTAACCTGGAAAAGAGCTTTTGACAAATGTGGACTCGCAAGCAATAGTTGGCGGGCTAGTTCCCTGTTTTGTGTAGCCATTACCTGTCATCAAAATGAGAATAAAATACCTATCTTAGAAGCAGTTCATAAAGGCTGGAACGACTGTATCAAAATGCTTACCTTCAGCTCAGACATTATCTCATTGAGCTGATTCCTTGACATTTTGGCCAGATGAAGAGTTAAAGGATCAGTGCCCAATGCCAGCTGATTTTGCAAACCATTTTGATTAGACTTGCTACCAATCTGAGCACCCCCAAGAGCTCCTGCCATGACGGATGCAGCAGTCATAGCTAATTGGAGACCAAGTGGCTGGTAAAACCCAGAATCCCCAACAATCGCTGCACTTCCAGATTGTTTTTGAGGGTCTGTATCATATTCAGGAAGAAAAGAAAATTGATTTTAGGCTATATTTATGTAAGTATAGGAGAGCTCACCAAAAGTTTAGGGAATAAACTAACCAACATTTGCAACCATCCCAGGTCCACCACGACCCTGCAGAGAAAGGAAATGAGAATGAATGATATGACATTAAAGAGCAAGCAAGTACACAGTTGTGATGAGAAAGAAAACTGTATTTTATCATTTCATTGCATATTGTTTGTTTTTGCTCCTACTGACATCAATCCACCAAACAACGTTACTTGATTTGGAATTTCACAATTGTTAAAGATTATAACATAAAGTTTCCAATACCTTTCTACATCAGGGTTATCGAATTTTTGAGTATTAGGGATACACTAAATGATACTCCCTCCATCCCATATTAGTTGTCCGCCTTTAATAATATAAATTTTTAAGAGGACCTGCAATTAATGCATTGTCCCCTTTCAAAATCACCATATTGTCATGTTAGTTGCCTCTTATTACTAAGACAAGAATTAGAAAATTTGTCTCTCTCTAATGTTTGACTTTTCTCTCTTCTCTCTCTTCTCTTTTTGACGTCGGAGTCTTCCACTCCGGCGTCCACCATTTTTGCCTGTCACTGGTTCCTCGTTCTTTGGCAAGGAATCGTGATATGCATCGATCCTATCTTAGCATTGCGACCCTACCATGTCTTAATCTTCACGGGGAAATCAAAAGCTGCTCTATAGGCAATGATCTGGTTTATAGGGTTGATCATCAAAGCATCCAGGAGCACGAATCTGTACTGCGATCATGCCTTGTAGGTCGTTTTGACAGAGACGTGGGGTGTCTTGAAGGGATTGAGGCGTGGGCGTCGAAAACTTGGAAGGTTTCATGTGGGGGTGAAAGTATCTCCTTTACCTGATGATCTACTTCTGTTCAGGTTTCCTTCGGAGGCTGAGGCCTCAAGGGTGTTGGACGAAGGGAGGAAAAGATGGGGTGACGCTTTATTATCCATCGATATTTGGTACTTCGCCGCCAGCTGTTCTGCTGTAAAAGAACGAGTCATACGTCGGGTGATCCTGTTTGGTTTACCCCTCCATCTCCGGTGCAACAAGCTTTTTGAAGCAATTGGGAATTTATGTGGTGGACTCCGAGGAGTTGAGGCGGACGTTTCGGCGTGTGGACAGCGAATTCTCCTCTATGTCTCTGTCGGAAAAATGTTGCCGGAGTACGTTTTTGTTGAGGACCAACGAGTGGCTTACAGGGTCAACTTAATAGAGGAAATAACACCTCGTATCCTTCCGAAATCTTACTATGGCGTTGAGGAGTCACATATCCCGACTATTGCAAATGGAGAAAATCGCCGGAAAGCACAGATCTACCATGGCGTCGAAGGAAAGAGATGTCCGCCTATGCACGCGCCTGAAGCGCGTCGAAGGGCCAATCAAGCCCTTAGTCATCGCCATATGTTCCCTCGTAATATCCGCGCTAACGGATACCAACCACGTGGCAAAGATCGTGTTCTTAATGGAGTCTTTAATGCTGTGAACTCTAATGGGCTTAGGCGTGGAACTGAAATGGGCTACGGGCCTATATCGTTATATGGGCCGCTTTTTCACCCCGGCCCACAGGAGCTGCAGAAGGCTGTTCATCGAGGGCCTCTTTATTTTAAGAACAAGCCCAGCCCAAAGTCCACTTTAAGTTATGGACCAAATGGGAGTAATATGGAGAGAAAGGTCTTGAGGGGGCCCAAAAATAAAGTACTACTTTCTGTTATCAAAGCCCAGCTCACTTACCTCTAAAGGAGTCAGTCACTTTCAGAGGCCTGAAGATAATTCTGTAATTTTCTGGAACTCTCCGGAAAAGAGAAAATGATTGAAATTATCTGGTGTAGCGACTGGTGGTGGTCCTGTTGAATTGGGTTCTCGCCATTCTCAATGTTGTGCAGACATCTCATCGTCATCTCTCTCTGAAACTTTCCAGTCGAAAGGAAGAACTGTTAGGTCTTCGTCTCGGGACCTCAATAGAAAACATCAAGGAGTTAGATGGTCTCGAAAAGAGAAGCAGAAGTGGACCTCTACTAGTGATCCAGGTACGTCATCAGTTTCACATCCTCAGAATTTTAATGTTCCATCCTCTTCTTCTACCCCTTCTTGTGTGCTGAGGAGTGCCGGTGTTGGGCCAGAATTAGAGAAGAGTAGTGAGTTGACTGTCACGAATGATGGAACTGATTCTGGGTTGAATACGGAAGGTATGAATGAGAGTGAGATTGACATTTCTAGGCAGATGAAAATTGCAGATTGTGCTGTTAAGAAATTATCTGAAGGAATTACAGTATGCATGAGCAGAGATCTGCACTTCCAACTGTCCAATGAAGAGGCTGTAGCTTTATTCAAAGAGCTTCGACTAAGTGTTGCTCTGAAAGGTCTTAATTGCTTGCCTCACACAGAGACTGATAGGACTGACTTTGTTTCAGAATCTGATTCTTTTTATGAAAATGATAAGGAGCTGGAAGAGGAAGTGCTTGATGATCTGGGTTCTATCCAACAGGTTTGCTCCAATGAGCTTACACCTTGGGTGGAGACGAGTTCTAAAATCCTACAAGAGACACCACTGGCTATGGTGCGACCCGACGAACAGGGTGTTGATATGGGGAAAGATCGGGTAGTTGACAATATTGGAGTCACTAGTAAGTTTCTGGGAGTCTCTTCAAAGGGTAATGATGACCAGACATTATCTATCCTTCAAACAATTGTGGAAGGGAGAGAAGTTGCAGTGACCAATGAAGTTATAAACACGAAGCCTTTATCATCTTGGAAAGGAGTACAGGAGATAAAGAATCTCATTTCTAAAGTCAAATACGAAGGCAAAGGAGGAGTGGTGAAGGAAAGGGGAAGAACCAGGAGCAGGAGTCTCAAGAAGGGTGGAGGGGATATTATTTTATCTGGTTTACAATGAAGCTACGAATCATTTCATGGAATGTTCGTGGTCTTAATGATCCGAACAAGGGAAGGGTGGTGAAGGTAGTTTTAAGGAAGTGGGGTGCCCAGCTTGTTTGCTTACAAGAAACCAAGTTGGCATCCATTACTGACAGGGAGGTTAAGAGATTGTGGGGAGGAAGGTTTGTGGAATGGGAGGCTTTGAATGCTATAGGATCTTCGGGCGGGATATTAGTTATGTGGGATAGTAGATGGTTAACTCGAACGGACGTATGGATGGGAAGATTCTCTATATCTTGCATGTTTAAGATGGAAGAGGACAACTTCAAGTGGGTTTTTACCGGAGTCTATGGACCGGTTGTTGATGATGAACGACATATCTTTTGGGAGGAGCTTTGCCATGTCCAAGGACTGTGGTCTTTCCCTTGGTGCCTGGGAGGGGATTTCAATGCTGTTACGTCCCCGTCAGAGAGGTCTACAGGGGGAAGAAGGTCTCTGGAAATGGATCAATTTTTTGATTTTATTAATGAGCATCTTTTTGTTGATTTACCAATAGAAGGTGCAGCTTATACTTGGTCCAATGGTAGGGATCCAATCACTCCATCAAGGCTGGACAGATTTTTAATTTCCGGGGATTGGGAAGAGAAATTCCCGGATGTTGTTCAAGTGGTGTTAGAAAGGGTCACTTCTGACCATGTGCCTTTGGTTTTGGATTGCTGGGGTTTATGTTCTCAAAGATCCCCATTTAGATTCGAGAATATGTGGCTGCGTGCGTATGATTTCCAAGGAAAAGTCAGTTCTTGGTGGGAAGGAGTCACTTTTTCAGGTTCGCCCAGTTTCACAATTACAAGGAATTTAAGGGCTCTCAAGTTAGCTCTCAAGCAATGGAACAAGGATGTCTTCAGGAATTTGGAATGGAGGAAGAATAGAGTACTTGCTGAATTTTCAGAGATTGATCGTCTCGAGGAGGCCGGAAGGGATATGGAATCTCTTCGTTCCAGGAGAGCCTCTTGTCAGGCGGTATTTGCTGAGTTCGTTAGTATGGAGGAGATCTCGTGGCGACAAAAATCCCAGGCTCTTTGGTTAAAGGAAGGTGATCGGAACACAAAATTCTTCCACCGGTTAGCTAACGCTCATAGGAGAAGTAATCATATAGGAAGAATTCGGGTGGATGGTGAGGAGTTGTGGAGAGAGGAAGAGGTGCGTAACGGTATTGCTTCCTTTTATCAGAAGCTTTACACAGAGCCTTTAGTTTGGAGGCCCAAACTTGATGGTCTCCATTTTGAGGCTATTTCTGAGATTGATAGAGATAGGATTGAGAATCCTTTCACTAAAGAAGAAGTTCTTAGAGCTCTCTCAAGCTGTAATGGGGACAAAGCTCCAGGACCTGATGGCTTCACTATGCGATTTCAAAGTTGGGTGGTTGTAAGAAATGAGGTAATGGGTACTTTTCAGGAGTTTCATTCTTTTGGCATCTTTGAGAAATCGCTTAATGCTTCATTCATTGCCCTTATTCCAAAAAAGGGAGGTGCTTCAGATATAAAGGATTTTCGTCCTATTAGTTTGGTGGGCTGCATTTACAAACTCATTGCTAAGGTGCTCGCTTTAAGGATGAAGGAAGTTATGGATGGAATTATTTCGGATTCCCAGAATGTTTTCGTTGGCGGACGACAAATTCTTGATTCAGTTCTTATTTCTGGCGAATGTGTGGATTCCAGATTACGGAGTGGTATTCCTAGAGTTCCATGCAAACTTGACATTGAGAAAGCATATGATCATGTGAATTGGAATTTCCTACTCTATTTGTTACAAAGATTGGGGTTTGGAAGTAAATGGAGGAAATGGATTGAGACCTGTCTTTCGTCTGTCAAGTTTTCAGTTCTTGTAAATGGCTCTCCAGCCGGTTTCTTTGGTTGCTCTAGAGGTATAAGACAAGGTGATCCTTTGTCATCTTTCCTTTTTCTTGTTGTTATGGAGGGGTTAAGTAGACTGATGCGTAGGGCAGAGGACCTTGGTTTTATTAAGGGCTTCAGGGCGGGTAAAGATTTAGACCATCAGATGGAGATTTCCCATTTACTCTTTGCAAATGACACCCTGGTTTTCTGTGATGCTGATGTGTCTCAACTTCGATACTGGAGGTGTGCTCTGACTTGTTTTCAGGTAGTTTCCGGGCTAAAGGTCAATGGGCAAAGAGTGTGCTTGTCCCAG